AGGTGGTTCAGCCCGTTTCGCCCGAGGCATCCTCGCAGCTCGGGGCTCCGCAATGCTGCGCGCGAGGTGGCCTAACCCGTTTCGCTTGAGACATTCTCGACACTCTGAGCTCCGAGAGGGAGAGGGGAGGAGGGAGGAGGGTCAGACCCAATCGAACCATTTGTTTACTCTTCTGTTGTCGAATTGCACTCTGGGAGGGGTTCGGGAGCCGCCTGAGGCATCTTCCCAAGTCTGAGAAGTCTGAGCTCTCGCGAGCGAAGTGGTCCAGCCCCTTTTGCCTGAAGCATCGTCTCAACTCGGGGTTCCGAGATGCTGCGCGCGAGGTGGTCCAGACCGTTTCGCACGAGACATCCTCGCAACTCGGATCTCCGAGATGCTCCGCGGAACTTTCATCGGCGAGGCGCGAGCACGATTCCTGGGCAAGTTGCGCAAGCTTTTCAGAGGGGGGGAGCATGCTTGAGCAAATCGTTGATATGCCTCTGAGAGCGCGATGAGCAGGGAGGAGGCAGGCTGGGCGAGGAGAAGGGGAGGAAGAAAAAGGAGTCATGGAGGAGGGAGACGGGGCCAGACCACAACTACCTGTTTGAGGGCATTCTTGGCAAGGGCGCCTTTGCCTCCTGGAAGAACCATCGAGAACACACAGGCATCCCAAGCATGGCGGAGGAAGCGGAGAAAAGGAGCGCGGAGGAGGGGGATGAGGAGGAGGGGGAGGAGGAGGAGGAGGAGAAGGAAGATGAGGAGGATGAGGATGAGGATGAGGGAGGGAGGAGGATGAGGAGGAATGCCAAGAGGAGGAGGAGGAGGAGGAGGAGGAGGAGGACGAGGAGGAGGAGGAGGCGAAGGAGGAGGATGAGAAGGAGGAGGAGAGGGGGATGATGATGCTGCTGAGGATGCTAATGATGCTGATGATGATGAGGAGGATGATGATGGGAATGACCAGGATGAGGGGGATGATGCTGCTGCTGATAATGGTGCTGATGATGCTGATGCTGCTGCTGATGATGAGGAGGAGGTGGAGGAGGAGGAGGAGGAGAAATAGGAGGATGATGACGAGGAGGAGGAGGGTGAGGAGGAGGACGAGGAGGAGGACGAGGAGGAGGAGGAGGAGGAGGGAGGAGGAGGAGGAGGAGGAGGAGGAGGAGGGGGGAGTACTGCGAGGACGAAGGGGACGAGAAGGAGGGGGAGGAGGAGGTGGAGGAGGAGGAGAAATGCGAGGACGAGGGCGACGAGGAAGAGGGGGGAGGAGAAGGAGGAGGAGGAGGAGAAGGAGAAGGAATGCGAGGAGGAGGAGGAGGATGAAGAGGAAGAGAAGGAGGAGGAGGAGGAGGAGGAGGAGGAGGAGCACCGCGAAGAGGATGGGGACGAGGAACACGAGGATGAGTACGACGAGTGCAGGGAGGAGCGCGACGATCAGTAAGAGGAGCGGTGAGGAGGCAGAACATGATGATAATGATGCTGCTGCTGATGATGATGATGCTGATGTTGATGATGATGATGTTGTTGATGATGAGGATGAGGATGAGGATGAGGATGAGGATGAGGATGAGGATGATGATGATGATGATGCTGATGATGATGAGGAACACGCCGAGGAGGAATATCACCATGAGGATGAGGAGGATTCGCATGAGGAGGGGGGCGAGGAGTAGTGAGATGAGGAGGTGCAGGAGGAGGGGAAGGGAGAAGGCGGAGGAGGAGGAGGACGAGGAGGAGGAGGACCAGGAGGATCATGATGAGGAGGATGACGAGAAGAATGAGCAGAAGTGGGAGGAAGAGATGAGAGGGATGATGAGGATGATGAGGATGATGATGATGATGATGAGGAGGAGGAGGAGGAGGAGGAGGAGGAGGAGGAGGTGGATCGGGGGGGGGCGAAGGCGAGAAGTACAATGACGTGGCTGCGGAGGAAGACGACGGCGACGATAACGAACAGGTCGACGACGACGCTGAAGGCGCAGGCTGATCAGGAGAAGGAGGACGCGCGAACACTCATAGGAGCCACCACGGCTCAACACAATGCTGATTGGGGATGCTGGACTCTGGCTATGATCCCCTGGGTGGGGCAAGGTGGACGTATCCCCCCGTTCGGCGCGGGACAACAAAGGACGATCGGTTGCCGGCACGATGGACGTGTTCCACTCGGCACGCAGCATCAAGATGTCTACGCTATGCTGCTGGCACCTCATCTCTATGGCACCCCCCTTGCCCCGAAAACGGGCAATGCGGCTTTTGAGGCACCAGCCTGGAGCCTCAAGCCACTAATGGGGGCGGCGGGAGCGGCCGTCGCCCGGGTGGCCCTCGCCCCAGTCCGCGCGTCAGCCTCGGCGTGTGCGTGCGCGTAGTCATCCACCAGCAGCCACCCCCCCACCACTGGAGCTGGCCACATGGTCACTGGCTGTGTCTCGCGTGCCACACGCGAGCGCGCGCGCGCGTACAAGCAACACTGTGAAGTCCCGTGCGCGCGAGACGTGCCCTAGGAATCCAGCGTCCCTTTCAGCCCTCAGTCGTGAGCCTCGCAAGCGCGTGTTGTATGTGCGACTGCCTTGATGTCGGGTCTTTTCTTGTTGCGTGCAGGTCCCGTGGGAAGCACACAGAAAACATGATGACAGGCTTCCGAGGCGAATGCAAGAGGGGTTGACTGTGCAAATTGTCCCTCTGTGCCTGGGCCTTGCCTCTTTCAATCCGCCATCCTACGAGTTCGATGAATCCAATTATCCGCCTAGCACTTCCCGTTCCCGACGCTCAGCTCTTCTCAAGGCAGAAGCGCAAGCGGCACACATGCAAACGTAACAGTGGCCATGGAGCCGTAATGCGTTGGGCTGGGTCGGGGCGACCAACCCTCAGCTTCCCCCTCATATAATGTGATGGTGTCCTAGCTCCCCCTCTCCCACGCCCCTCCCCCCCTTCCCCTCCTCCTCCCCCTTCACCCTTCTCTCTTCCTTTCCTTTGCTCCTCCACCTTCTCTTCCTCCTCCTCCTCCTGATGATGATGACTCATTACGTGCAGTCTCCTTCTCAGGGCGAGCCTTGGCGAGGAAGAGAAGGCTTGACATAACAATGAATTGAGGCCGAGTGTAGCAACAGAACTAATGGGAGCGGAGCAATAATCGCAATGAAACTCCTGCTTGTGAGTGCAAGCCGTGCTAGTGCAGCCTTACTGGTAGTAGAAGCAATTGCGGTAGCAGCTGTTGTAGTGGCATCAATAACACGAGCAGTAATAGGACAAGGAGCCGGAGCAGTATCAGTGGCGAGGGCAAGGATAAGGATGGCTAGGAGGAAGAAGTCTCAGGAGGTCTCCACGAATCTCCCAAGGTCTCTGGAGGCCCCCTGGGGCCTGTGGAGGCCCCTGGAAGCCTCAAGAGGCCTTCTCCCCAAAGCAACAACGCACCAAAGCACTCGACCCTCGAAACTCGGTGATCGAGGAGGAGTGGCAAGGGGAGGAGCGGAGGAGGGTGAGGACGAGGACGACGAGTAAGGCGATCATGAGGCGGAGGACGGGGTGGAGGAGTCACAACAGCAAATCCAGGGTGCATCAACGATGCTGCAAGACACCATCCCATACTCAAGTCCTGCCCTCCCCAGTCCCTAGGAGCTCTCCTCTTCACTGCGGGGAGCCCCCCCCCCTTGAGAGACGAGCGCCTCATGGGCCTGCCATTCAGACGAGAGTGCCGTCTTGCGAAGCAACAGCTCCTGGATCCTTGAAGCACTACGAGAAGCAAAGAGGCAGGGCTCTACAAGTCGTCAATTGGTCCAGAAAACACTCGGTTTTGAAAACGAGCCGCCCTCCATCCGTGTACATGTTGCACACTGATTCTCTCAAAACTTCTCTAAGACAACCTAAAACGGGAAGCGCATTTTGCCACGGGGTTGCCTCAATCTGCTGCACCAGTTGCAAGCTTTGAGAGCCACGTGTTGAAAACGGGCCGCCCTCCATCATTATGACTGCCAGGAGCTCGGACAACGAACGTGCGCGACGACGAGGCGAAAACCACGTGCTGAAACCAACCCACACTCCGTCCATACAGCGGTTGCAACCGTTTGCGTTGAACGGGCGCGGCGCCGCGGCGAGAACCGCGTTTGGAACGCGATACGCCCGCCCGCCATCCGAGTAGCTGCCTGTTGTCTTTCAGGCTCCAGGAACATCAACGGTAAGGACGTCTCAAGAGAAACGCCCAGCCCGCCGTGCCAATGCGTCGGGTACTGCCGCGAGACCCGTGCAGGGAAGCAGGACGGAGGACGGGGAGCAGCACGAGAGGAGCTCGAGGAACACGGGGAGGCCGCGGAGGAGGCCGAGGCCGTGGGCGCGGCGGGAGGGAGGACGAGGGGGGAAAGGACGAGGACGAGGACGAGGGCGCCGAGGGCGCCGAGGAGCAGCGAGGCGGCACGCCCCGAGGCACGCGCGGGAGCGCGGCGGGGCCTCGGCGGCGACGCAGCACAGCGTCCCGGGCGCGCGCCTCGCGCCGCGCGCGCCGCGCCCGGGGGCCTCTCACGCCGCGGGGCGGCCGCGGCTCGCCGGCGACGCCGCCCTGCGAAGTCGTCGTCGTCGTCGTCGTCGTCGTCGTCGTCGTCGTGTCGTCGTCGTCGTCGTCGTCGTCGTCGTCGTCGTCGCCCTTTCTCCGTTTTCCTGCTCCCGCCTCTCCTTGTCCGTCTTCTCATCCTCCTCGTCTAGGTCCTTCTCCGTCTGCTGCCGCCGCTGCTGGCTTCGCCTCCTCCTCCTTCTCCTCCTCCTCCTCTTCCACACTGTCTGGCCCATCCTCATGCGCCTCCTCGTCGTCTACCTCTTCGACATCCTTCTCCACCCTCCGCCCCGAAGTCCTCCTCCTCCTCCTCCTCCTCACCCTCGTCCTCCAGGCCCTCATCCACTTTCCTCCTTCTCCTGTTCCTCCTTCTCCCCCATCTTCGTCTTACCCCCCCCTTCATCCCTTCTTCTCCTAATCAATCCTCCGATCCTGTCTCCTACACTTGTTCCCCTCTCCTTCTAATCCTCCTCCTCCTCGCCGCCTACTGGATGTAGGTGACGTCGTCCTGTGGATGCCTGTACAGCGGCTGCTTCAGCCTCCTCTGGTCCAAGAAATGCCCCACCAGCCCGAGCGTCCGGGACGCCACGAAGAGCCCGTTGAGCACGCCGTTCTCCACGAGCTCGTCCGCCTCCGCCTCGGACACCACATCGTCGTCATCGTCGTCGCCTGTCTTCGTCGTCGCCGCCGCCGCCGTGGTCGTCTATGCAGCCGTCGCCGCCGCCCTCGCCGTCGCCGTCGTCGTCGTCGTCGTCGTCGTCGTCGTCGTCGTCGTCGTCTTCGCCGCCGCCGCCGTCTTCGCTTCGTCATCGCCGACATCGCGGCCCCCGGAGGGCGCCTTGGAGAACGAGCCGCAGCCGCGCAACAGGTCTACGAAGCAAACCGCGATGGCGCCGTCCACGTTGAGAATGAGGTTCGCCTGTGCTGCGGGGCAGCGTCGGGGGAAGGGCCAGCTCCGGGGGGGCAGCGTTGAGCTGGATTCTGCGATGCATCGTCGACACATCTCGGCGATCGGCTCCCGATCGCGAATCCCCACGTTCTTGGGCGGGGTGGGGCATCGGGGCACTATGATCGATGTGTCGGCGACTGGGGATCGATGCAGGAGGAGGAGGAGGAGGAGGAGGAGGAGGAGGAGGAGGAGAAGGAGGAGGAGGAGGAGGAGGAGTTCCCCTGGGCCCGTCCCCCTTCACGCTGCCCCAGCTGACTCGGAGGGCCAATCGAGACAACGGCGGACCTCGCTGGCGCTGTCCTCCTCCTCTCTTAGGCCCCCTCTGGAGGCTTCTCGTCGCGCGGGCTGGAGCCGCCTCGAAAGTGGGGCGCCGAATGGTGGGGGGGCGATGCATGGGGGGGGGGCAGCGAGGGCTGCAGACAAGGGGCCCCTGGAGGGCCCCAAGGGGCCCTCCAGGGCCCCAAGAGGGGGTCTCTATAGGGCCAGAAAAGTGCACGATGCCCTCCTCCCATTTATCGCCCCCCCTAATTGAGAGGCAGCGATAGGGGGGGATAGGCATAGGGGGGGAAACATCGACCTGGAATCGGCGATACATCGCCGATAGATCGGCGATGAGCCCCCAATAGCAAATCCGCACCTTCCTGGGCAGGTTGGGGCTATCGGGCCCGTATCGGCGAGCAATGGGCGATCTGGGATCGATGCATCCCCCCCTATGCCTAATTATCCCTCCCTATCGTTGCCCCCCCCCCCCCTAATCGACGCCCCAGAGAGACGGGTCGGGACGAACCCCAGAAGGGGACCCGGGGCAGATCTTGAGCGGCCTTGGGCCGGGCGGAGGAGCCGCCGTTGCCTCAGCTGGGGCCCTCGTCCGTGCTCCTCCTCCAAGAGAGGGGAGGGGCCCTGACCAACCCTGGGGAACTCCCCTGCCCTTTGGGCCCGGTCAGTGCTCCTTGCCAGGGCTCGAAGTAAACCAATTTCGTCGTTTGCGTGTTGTTTTGGCTTTCCTTCGTTCCGTCTTCGTTCTGCCTTCGCTGCGACACGAAACCAAAGCGAAAACGGCCCACGAAATCGCCGAAACACCGTTTCTCTCGAACCCTGGGGAGCTCTTTTCGACCCAGTCAGTGCTCCCTGCCACCTGGCCTTCTTCCTCGTGGTGATCTGCTCCACCGCGAGCGCGAAATCCAGCAGCGGGGTCGCCGCGAAGTGTCTCCTCGCGTACTCCTTTATCAACACCACCCGCGCGTCAGGATTGTCCAAGGATTTGACCCGGTGGCCGATCCCCATAATGACCTTCTCCTCATCCTCCTCATCCTTCTTTCCCTTCTACTTGCCGTCGCCTTCCTTTCCACGATAACCTCCTGCTCCTCCTCCTCCTCCTCCTCCTCCTCCTCCTCCTCCTCCATGATGAACTCCTCCTCCTCCTCCTCCTCCTCCTCCTCCTCCTCCTCCCTAGAAAGGCCTGGGGGCATCCGAGTGAGTCCCCGCACCCGTCGCCAAAGGGAACCCGGTTATGGCTCCAGGTCCTTAGCCACAGAAGCGCCACCTACGGGACGCAGCTTCTTGGAGAACTGGTCCCGTGGCTTTCCGCCTCTCATTGTGACTTCTAATGACCCACTGAATTTTGCAAGGAGAGGACAAAGGCGGAGGCCAAGCGCTAGGCGCGCGCGGCAGGAAACGCTGCCCGGCAAGGGCACGGAGAGGAAAGGAAAAGGACAGCCGGGGGCGGGGGCGGTCGGGTCCGCGGTGATACTGGCAGTGGCGGTGGTCATGGCCCCGTCGTGCTGGCCGTGGTCGTGGTCGTGGTGCTGGTCGGCGGTGGTTGCGGTGGTGACGTGCCGGCGCTGGTCGTGGTCGTGGCGTCGGTGGTCGCGGGGGTCGTCGTGTTCAAAATCGTCGTCGCGGTAGTCGTGGTGGCGGCAGTGGTTGTCGTGCTGGTGGCGAACGTGGTGGTCTGGCTTCGCGGTTGTGCTCGCGGCCGCCTGTGGTGGTCACTGCGTTGGCGGCGGTTGCGGTGGGCAACGCGGAAGGGGGGGGGGCTGGTCGCCTAGAATGCGCTCAGCAGCATCTCAGCACCACAACCCTTTGGAGGTTTCTGCTGATCTGCCGCCAGAGGCTGCCCGGCAGCTCGGAGCGCTTGCCGTCGTCTAGGTCGGCTGGGCTGGCCCCCTGTCTCGAAGACGAAGGGAACCAGCTCGCCCCCGGGTGGGGGATACCGCCCTGGCTTCTGTTCCACCATCTGGGCGGCTGCCAAGCCGTCTCGGTCTGCTCTGGCACCCCTGCGTGGAGCGTAGGTTGAGCGTACGCAGGTGATTACCCAGTCGACGTAGACGTGGCGCCCGTTGGCCCGACGAGATCGAGGACAACTTGCTGCAGCTCCCCAGATCTGAAAGAGCGTGTTCTACCGCTGCTGGCGGAAAGCCGGGGGGGTCACTACCAGTTCGAACCCCTCCCCCCCCCTCCGGAAAACCGGGGGGGGTCACTACCGGTTCGCCCCCCCCCCCCCCCAGCTCATCATGAAAAGGGGGGGGTCACTACCGGTTCGAACCCCCCCCCCCTCGAAAACCGAGTGGGGGTGCGGACAGTGGTGGGGACGGTGTTGGTGGGGACAGTGGTGAGGGGACAGCGGGACAGTGGTGGGGACAGTGGGACAGTGGGACAGTGGTGGGGACGGTAGTGGTGTAGTGGTGGGGACAGTGGTGGGGACAATGGTGGGAACAGGGGGGACAGTGGACAGTGGTGGGGACGGTGGTGGTGGGGACAGTGGTGTGGGGACAGTGGGAATGAGGTGGAAACAGTGGGACAGTGGAGGGTACAATGGTGGTGGGGACAGTGGTGAAGGCGGTGGCGAGGACGGCGGTGGGACAATGGGACAGAGGTACAGTGGGGACAGTGGTGGGGACAGTGGGGACAGTGGTGGGAACAGTGGGACAGCTCAGTGGGACAGCGGAGGAGTCAGTGGGACAGTGGGGACAGTGGGGATAGGCAGTGGTTGGGTCCGTGGAGACAGTGGGGAGAGTGGAACCGTGGTGGGAACAGTGGTGGGAACAGTGGGGACAGTGCGACAGTGGCGGGGGCACTGGTGTGGACAATAGGGACGGTGGTGGAACCAGTGGGGACAGTGGTGGTGAGGACAGTGGTGCTGGGAACAATAGTGGGGGATGTGATGCGAGCGGTGGTAGGGACCGGGAGTCGTTTGCTGGCGGTGCGTGGGGGGGGGGTCGAACCGGCAGTGACGCCCCTCCGGTTTTCGAGGGGGGGGGGGGTTCCAACCGGTAGTGACCCCCCCCGGTTTTCCGGATCCGGAGGGGGGGGGGTGGAGGAGTTCGAACCGGTAGTGACCCCCCCCCGGTTTTCGAGGGGGAGGGGGGGGGGAGGGGTTAGGGGAGGGGGAGGTTTTGCCGCGGGGGAAGGGGGGGTGGGTCCAGCAGGGGGGGGGGATTTTCGGAGGGGGGGGGGGAGACCCCCGGGTTCCGGAGGAAAAGGTTGGCAATTTTCCACAGTAAAGCAGCGGTGGATCACGCTCTCTCCCAGATCTGGGGTGGCGGCGATCCCAAGCAGGAGCGGCCTGCTCCGTGGGCGCCGCGAAGCCTGTGAGCTCCTTGTACTTCGCGGAATGCCAGTCGCGGCAACTGCTGTGGCGCTGGTTGCGCGACGCGCCCACCTCGCATTTGACTGCGTGCCAGCCGTGCGGGTCGAGGGCCTCGTTGCAGAGACTTCCGTACTCGCGGCGGTGCTGGCAGCGGGAGCCAGGCGGGCAGACCGGGACGCAGAGCCGCCGCTTGAGGTTGCCACGAGAATGCGCATCTAGCTGTCGGGGGTCGCCCGGCTGGCGCGGGAAGAGCCAGCTGCCTGCTCCGGTGCCTCTGTTCTCTCGCAAGCGGAGGCGGCGGTCCTCATCGAGCCAGCTGCCTCCTCCTTCCTGTTCCCGTCCTCTTCAGCGGTCTCTGGAGGCCTCCGGATCGAATGCTCAAGAAGGGCCAGAGCGCCCCTCGTCCATCCTCCGCCTCCTCCTCCCGCCTTCGCCTTCGCTCCCTTTCTCCCTAAGAACTGGTCCACACGATGACCTTCTTCTGGGCTTTGCACTGCTCGACGAACTCCTCAGGGCTAATGGCCTTGTCGAGGGCACCGGCAAACCTGATGAGAACGAGGAGTAGCAGAAGAGGGAGGAGGGAGGAGGGGGCGGAGGACAAGGAGGCTTGTAAAAGGGAGGAGCAGGAGGAGAAACAGGGAAGAGGAGGCGGGACGAGCCGAGGGGGAAATCACGAGGAGGAGGAGCAGGGTAGGGCAGGGAGGCGGCCCATGTGTAATGAAGACAAATCGAAAAAACAAGTAGGATGGAGGGAAAGAGGGAGGAAGGAGGGAGGGCCTGAGGCCATCGCAATGTGCAAACGAAGCAAGGAAACCGGGCATCGTTCTGTGCCCGTCCTTGGGCCCCCGAGATCTACACCGGAAGACGCCCCGTGGACGCCTAGGGTGAAGCAAAAACCTCCCGCGCGATTCGCTAGAGTCGCCGGAGGAGGAGGGGGAGGAGGAGGAGGAGGAGGAGGAGGAGGAGGAGAAGGAGGAGGAGGAGGAGGAGGAGGAGGAGGGGGAGGAGGAGGAGGAGGGGGAGGAGGAGGGTGGCCTCGCTCCTCGCTCCCGTCGCTCGTCGACCGCCGAATCTCCCCACGGGGTGACTCCCGGCCAGGCCTTCGAGGCACACCCGGCCGCGGCGGCGGGCACGGCCACGGAGGCCCCAGAGTGGTCGAAGGTGCACAGATATCGCAGTCCTGGATTCTCCAACCTCGACGAGGAACAGCGGCAGCAGCAGCAGCAGCAGCAGCAGCAGCAGCAGCAGCAGCAGCAGCAGAGGCAGTAGAACCAGCGGCAGCAGCAGCAGCAGCAGCAGCAGCAGCAGCAGCAGCAGCAGCAGAGGCAGCAGCAGCAGCAGCAGCAGCAGCAGCAGCGGGAACATTCGCGCCGCGTCGTCCAGGGCGCCGCCGAACCGAGGGCCGAGGGGCCCGGGCAGCCAAAACCAGCAAGATAGTGAGATTCGGACCCCCTACGGAGAAAGAGGATGAGGTGGAGGATGATGAGGAGGAGGAGGAAGAAGAGGAGGAGGAGGATGAGGAGGACCAGCGATTACAATAAACCCTGCCTCCAAGGTTTCTTTTCATGGGCCGCTGCAAGGAATCATTTTCACTAGGGGAGGTGCCCCGTTGAAAATCCTGAGCTGTGCTAGAATACCTTTCCTGGAACCTCAGCGCCGCGAATCACCGTTAGTGTTCCGTCTTGACGGTCGTGAACCGTGCCATACAACCATTCCTGGGACGTCAACACCACGAATCAACGTTGCTGTTGCGCCCTGACAGATCGACATCGTGCCAAAACACCGTTTTTGGGACGGTAGCCATGATAATCCCACCAGCCCTCTGGGCGCAGGTGGTCTAACGATATCTTTCTTTCCTCTTCCAGAAACCCCTCTTTCCCTTCGGGGAGGGGTTTACCCCCAGATGGTGTCTTGACCCCTCGCCCTACCCCCTCCCCTGGACCTGGACGGGAGGGGCCGCGATCGGTTGGAGCGTCCAAGGTGGCCTCAAGATGTCTCAAAGAGGGCCTCAGAGAGCTCAAGATGGCCTCCAAAATCATCAATATAGCCCAACATGGCTCAAGATAGCTAACAACATGCCTTGAATAAGCCCCGAAATGATCACAATACGGTTGCAGGTGCTCTCGGAAACCCCTCAGGACGCCTCCAAGAGCCCCAAATCCTTCAAACACCCAAGGACAACTGACGATTTTTGCCTTCTCGCCATTTCGCTTCCGACGCGCTTCAGAGGCCTCAAGATGGCCCCCAGATGGCCCAAGAAGGCCCCAAGAGGGGCCCAAGAGGCCCCCAAGACGGCCCCAAGAGCGCCCAAGAGCCCCAAGAGCGCCCATAGAGAGCTCCACAAGAAAGTTTTGAGGGCCCCAGGGGGGGGACCTCCATCGGGACCACCCCTCCTTTGATCGATAGCCTCGAAGATGACCCCAAGAGGCGCTCCAGGGTTCCCAAGAGAGCCCCAAGAGAGCCCCAAGAGGGCTGCAGGAGGGTCCCAAGAGGGTCCAAAGACACCTCAAAAGATCGCGAAGATGGTTCCAAGATGCGATGTTGAGGGCTCCTGAGGGGGGGCACATCGAGAACCCCTCCTCATTTGACCGATGCTCTCCAAAATGTCCCCGAGATGCCCTCAAGGGCCCCCGAGAGACTCCAAAAAAGGTTCAATATCCTCCTCGTCGTCGTCCTCATCCGCGTCCTCGTCCTCCTCGTCCTCCTCGTCCTCCTCGTCCTCCTCGCCCTCCTCGTCCTCGTCCTCGTCCTCCTCCTCCTCCTCCTCCTACTCCTCCTCCTCCTCCTCCTCCTCCTCTAACCCTCGCCCCCACGCGGCACCCAGGGATGGCCCGAAGAGGCCTTCCAAGGCCACCCCTTTGCTCGCTTTGTTTCCCTAGATGTGTCTCTTCGTCCCTTTTCCCGTCAACTCTGAAGGACGGGGTTTCTGAATGGACTGGTGGGGATACTTTTTGGTCAACAGGCTCGCGAGGCGGGTCGAAAGCCGTCCGAACACTAGTTGGGCCGCGACTAGGCAGCCGGAAAATAATGGCAAGCGGAGCGAGCGAGCGGGCAACCACTCAGAAGGAGAGCCAGAACCGATACTCCCAAACCCGGTGGCGTTGGAAATCCCGGTGGCGACCAGCAAGTAAGCGCGACTGGTGGGGATACGCGAAGCGTGAATCATTATTGACGCTGTTGTAAGCTCTTAAAACGAATGTACGCGGCACTAAAGCGCGAATAACATGTGGATAAGGAGCCGCACTCCATCCGTGAAGCTCTTGCAGATCTTTAAGACAAATGTGCGCAGCGCTACGGCGAGAAACACATGTTGAAAACGACCTGCCCTCCATCCGTTAAGCTGATGCAGCAGTTTTTTTTTTTGGGGGGGGGGGGAGACGACCGCTCCCATACGTGAAGGCTGTTGCAGATTTTGAGCTTCAAGGCCATGAACGATGAGGAATCTCTCTCAGGTCGCGAAACCCCCAACCCGCCCTTTCGACTGGCCTCGGGTTGCGACAGGGACAGAATCACTTATATTAAAGTGGAATGGAGGAGGAGGACTCGGCGTGCTCGTTCCAAGGGATCTCACGCTGAATTTCTGGACGCGGACAACGAGGAGGAGGAAGAGGAGGAAGAGGAGGAGGAGGAGGAGGAGGAGGAGGAGGAGGTGGCACATGCCCAGAGGAGGGGGAGAAGGGGGAGGGGGAGGAGCAGGAGGAGGAGGTACAGGAGTGGCAAGACGAGAATTATACCGCATCCGCTCCCACTCCTGCTCGTTCCTCGTCCTCCTCCTCCTCCCCCTCCTCCTTCTCCTCCTCCTTCACCTCCCTACTATTCTCTCCTCCTTCCCTACTCCTACCCCCCACCCCTTTTCCTCCTCATCGTTTCGCTTCTCCGACACAGGGGGAGGGAAGTAGATCTCACTGTCCTCGTTGTCTTGCCTGCCCCGAGATGGTGGCCAGCCCCGAGATCAGCGAGGAGACGAGGTCCTTGCCCGCCCGAGCAGCGACGATGGTGTTGTGGGCGCCGGAGACGCAAGGGCCGTGGTCCGCCGTCGTGATGACGCACAGCTCCATGAACTTCGAGGAGGACGACAACTTCTTTGCCCCCATGGGGCCTAAGTTGAGGGATGACAAAACGACCCTACCCTGGGTCACAAGTGCGTGGTCTGTAAACCTCCTGGGAACCCCCAAAGCCTAGAGCCGCCAGGACGCGGCACATCACGCAGGGTTTACCCTGTCAGCCCACAGGAGTTTCGGCGCTCAGCGCCTCGTAAACCAGGGTAGGGCCGTTTTTTTATGCCCTCGACTAAGGACTTTCTACATGTTTGTCAGAGAAGCCAATGGGTGCGGGGTCCTTCGTCACCGGCGTTCCTCGGGGTTGCCCCAGGTTTGCGACGACAAGCAATGCCAAGCAATACAGAGCACTGCCGACCGGTGCCAAGAAGTGCGAAGCGACGCCCCGCACAAGCAAGCAATGCTAGGCAGTGCCAAGCAACGATGCCAAGCAGTGATTCCAAGCAGTGCCAAGCAATGCAAAGCAATGCCAAACAATTATTTACACGAGCGGTTCTCTGACTTGCGATGCATTGCGCTGCATCACGTTGTAACGTATTGCGCGGCGTTGACTTTAATTGAAATTCGTTGCGATCTATTGCCCCGCTTTGGAATACAACTAGTTCGGGTCGCGCTGGGCTCACTAGAACTGTTTTCATTCGTTGTGCGCACCAGTATGCAGTAGTAGCCGCTGCGACAAAGAACGAAACAGCAGTGGTTGTGGTTGTTATCGTGCGAAGAGGAGGGGAGAGGGAGGAGGAGGGGAGAGGGAGGAGGAGGAGGAGGAGGAGGAGGAGGAGGAGGAGGAGGAGGCGGAGGAGGAGGAGGAGGAGGAGCAAGAGGAGGAGGACCCACGCACACTTCGCCCACCGTCCACCCTCGACACGTACGCAGGCAGCCGCCGCCTAAACCACAGGAGCGAAATCGCGCCGCCCACCCCCAGCTCCGCGTCCGCGGCGATCTCGGAGATCGGCACGCCTGCGTACGTGGGCTCGGCGCCGCGGTCGTCCGATATGGAGCACACGAAGCTCGCGGGCTTCCGCACCAAACCCTTCGGCAGACGACGACAGTGGCGGCCGCGAGGCGACCACGGCGGCGGCGGCGACGACGGGACGACGCGGCGGCGACGACGACTGCCGCGCAGAACCGAACCCTGGACCCCTCCCAGACACCACCTCGAGCCGCGCCCTGCTGCGGCCAGGGCCCCCTCAACGGGCGTCCAAAAAGGACAACGCCGGATCCGACGTCACGGGCAAGATGCAACATCGCAGAAAATCACGACGATGCCACTCTGGGTTCCGTCCGCGCATCGGCCAATACCCGGGGCAAGGGCTGTGGGGCCCGGGCAACGGTAACGCTGGGGCGGGGTGGGGCGCGGCTGGGCGGGGTTGCGCTGCGATCGCCAGAGTATGAGCCTAGCACCGAGCCTGCGATTTGCCTGACAGCGAAATGCCGTCTTTTTGCCAAACATTTTCATAGTATGAGCCTGCATTTGCCTGAAAATGTCTAGTTTCCGCTGCTGTGCCTGCGAGCACAAGAAAGGCCTGCGTTTCGACCGCAGGCGCAAAGCCCGGCAGCACCGGCAGGGCGCGTGCGATCACTGGCAGGGCGCCTGCGGAGCACCTGCGAACAGCACAGCATGCCTTCGGGCACCTCCATGTGGGGGGTTTCCCCCCCCCTGTACAGTGGGGGCGTTGATCGAAGGAACGATAAATAAGGAACGAAGCCCCTTTTTTACCCCAAGGAATAACGCATAAGGAACGATGAATAACAAATAACGCATAAGGAATTGTAAATAACGCGTGCAAGCCTAAGGAACGGCCGAGCCCCTTTTGAAAAGTAAGTGTTCCTTACTCAAGCCGCTCACTGTACGATCGTTACCGTTACCCGGGGGGAAGTCTGGTCCGGGGAACGACCGGCACACGCCACAAGATAAACAACAAACTTGACCGGAGCCCTATAGGCCCCGCCTTCCTGCGGCATTTTTCCAGCTGGATCGATCTGTGGTATGGTCCTGGGACCCGAAACCCAGCAAAAACGGCTGGCACGAAAAAATGCAACGCTCACGTCTGAGGGAAAGCCGACGGCGACAACGGGCGGCGGCGGAGGCGACGGCAACGACGACGTCGCCGCCTTCTTCTTCAACGAGTCGAAGTCCGCTGGCAGCGCCGGGGCAGGCAGCTCTGCGCCCTGCGGCTCGATCTCGCCGCTGTCCACCAACGCCCTGCGAAGACGAAGCCAAGACCGGGACAAACTCGGATCGGGACAACTCGGGGATCTCCCCACATCTCCGACGCTACGTTTCTTTCAGCACTGGCTGCTTTTTCCTCGATCTCGGCCCTCGGGCCCCCTTCTCGGGTACTGGGACAATCAGGAGATCTGGGGCGCCAGATCCGCCCTGGGGAAGCGGTCGGGGCAGACTGGGCCGCGGATTGCAAATCGGAGGTCGGGGCGTGACCTCGCGGTGGGACGCAGAGCCACCCTACTTACCCGGACATCGGCTTCGGCTTCGTGTCTGCGTCGTGCGCGTGGACGAGGCGACGCTGCGTGGCCACGCGAGAGCCGGAGGAGGAGGGGGAGGAGGAGGAGGAGGAGAAGGAAGAGGAGGAATAGGAGGAGGAGGAGGAGGAGGGGGAGGGGGAGGAGGAGGAGGAGGAGGAGGTGGAGGAGGAGGAGGGGGGTGGAGGAGGAGGAGGAGGAAGGGGAGGAGGGGAGGGAGAGGAGGAGGAGGAGGAGGAGGAGGGAGGAGGAGGAGGAGGAGGAGGAGGAGGAGGAGGGTGGAGGAGGAGGAGGAGGAGGAGGAGGAGGAGGAGGAGGAGGAGCGAGCGTCCCAGGAGAGTTCGGTCCCCGCCTAGGGCCGCTGAGTGCGCGCCGAGCCTCTCAGGCTCGCGTCGAGGATGTCCAGGGCGTCGTTGGCGGGGGACAGGAGGTCGAGCGAGTCGTGGGGCGCGCCGACGGAGGGCGCCAGGGTGGACTCGACGACGCTGATCTCGAGCATGTCAGCAGGATCGTAGTCGGGGAAGGCCGCACCAGACATATTCATCACCATGTCAGGGTCCGCCACCTCAGCTCCCAACAGAGAGTCATGCGCAGCATCATGCGGATTGCCAGGGGCGGGTTCATGTGGAGAAACTGGAGCATCCACCGCTTGATCTTCTTCGCCAGGTGCTGCACCATCAGCATCATGGAGTCCATGTGGAGGTCGATCCCCAGGTGGGTTACCCAGCGCACGTGGAACTCGGTGTGCACGATCCACGGCGTCGCGACCAGGCGGAAGACGACCCACAGGTTGAGGTGCAATGTCAGGAGGTGTATTGTGGGCCAAAAGCAGAGCTCCTCCCAACGAGCCATCAGGGTAGATGACCCCAAAGCCGTGTGCAGCCATCGTCGCATCGAAGTCGTCATCAGTACTTGGCGACCCACTCGAAGAGCTGCTCGTGCGCTGGACCAGCCTTGTCGTGGGTGACGCGGGGCGCGGGGCGCACCGCGAAGAGCTGGCCGTGGGGTCGCGGGTCACAGCCTCATCAGGGCTATCACGAGAGGGTCGTATAATACGCTGGAGTTGGCGATCAAATTCCTCATCGCTGAGTACTGGCCCGTGATGTGGTCCATGTTCTTCATCTTGCATCTCAGCGTCAGACTCGTGGTCCGTCAGATTGTCGCCGCCACCCGCGTCCGAAATCATAGCCTCGAGGTCCAAGTGAGAGGGGTTCGGGACACCTTCGTGGTCGACACTATCATAGTCTTCATCAGGGGGCACCTCGTGCAGAGTAAGCTGCCCTCTCGCCTGGCCCGTGAGCCAGTTCGGGAGACTGAGGAGGTGCGGTAAAGCCTCAGGCGGTGTAATCGGGGAGGCCGCCGTATTCAGAATCAGGAAGTCGTCGCGGTTGGCTGCGGACATGCGATTCGGGTCGGCCCGCCAACCGAGCTTCTTCAGGTGTGCAATGGCCAGAAGACGGAGGCGCCGAATCCGCTTCTCATCATTCGCGGGCCAGGGGTCACGAAGGAGACGACGAGGTTGCTCCCGTGCAAAGGCGCTGCTGCACCATCCGCCGAGACACCAGTCCAGCGCGAGTTGTCTCCGATTCGCCCAACCACCGCCCAGGATTTGAAGGTCATCATACCTGAGCACATTCTCGACGTAGTCAGGACACCATTGCATCCATTGTTCGTAGTCCGTTCCGCATGCGTTGATCAGCAGCGATGGAATCCAAACACGGGCCCAAGCTTCGATCCTGTCCACCAAAGCCTTGCGCCGCTCAGCAACCGGTAGGGCAGACTCTTCGGGCGCAGGGATAAAGGAGTCAAGAAGCGCAGGAAGATCGTCCTCGTTAATCGTAGCTGCAATCTGGATAGCGCCCTCGCTGTCCCATGCTCGCCCTTCAGGGTGGCTAGAAGCACCGCCCGCAAGGTCAGTACGGCTGGCCGAAGAGGCCAGGGAAGGTGGCGATGGAATCGACGCACTCGTCGTAGCTGTATATGAAGTGCTGGTTACATCCCCATGGGCGGCAGCAAGCGGCTGAAAGATGAGCCCCAACGTGAAGACGATCATGGGTGGCATGTCGTTGGGAATCCCTGCTTGAGCCGCAATGCTCTGCGGATGTGACATACTGCATATCGGAGTCGCTGGGCAACGGGAAGCGGTCTGCCATGCTTCACCAACCAGTGGCTCGGATCCCTCCTGCACCCCATGCACCACGTGTCCCGCACCAGCGACAGTGGGAAAGTCAGGGGGCGCCGCAAGACCAGACGAGGTAGCAGCAGCATAAGGCGACGGTGGTGTCGATGGTCGGCAACAAGAGGATGGCGGCGTTGACCTCGGCGGTGCAGGTGATGCAGACAAACTTTCCGCGAGAGCGAAAGCGCCTTCAATGATGTCGAGAATTGGCGTCGATGGTGGGGAACAGGACAACTCGCTCGAAGGCGGGGAGAGCGAACCAGGTGAAGACGAAGAAGAAGATGAGGAGGACGATGAGGAGCAAGAAGGTGCATTTCTTTTGTCAGGATGCTCCTGTCCAGCGCGTCGTGCACGAATGGGGAGCTCTTGAAGGGGCTGTAGCTCCTAGCCGCGCCGTGCGAGTGGCTGCCTTGACAAACGAGCGTGCTGCCTCTTTTGGCCGAGGGTGAGTGGCAGACGAACGGGCAGCACCAACGTAAGTGTAGTACATCGCCACAATGTCAAACATTACCTTGTCCAGTTCGACTGCCGAGCCCAGTAAGCCGAGACGCCCCAGCGGCGAGGAAGGGCGCGAGTAGCCAATCTCCTGCTCAAGAAGCAGGCGAAATGGTCGGCACTGTAGGTAGTGGTGTACAGCATCGGGTTCTGGATGACAACCAAATCGGCAAGAGAGGCGCCCATGCGGCTGCAGTATCCTGTGTGAGGTCGCCCAGCCGTTGGCCACCGTCTTGATGTAGGCAAACGCCCAGGGCATTGAGCATCCGCGAAGATATTTGATAATGTGCTCCCATCTGTGTGCGGGAATCATGTGGCCACCAACTACACCAAGCTCAGGATAACGAAGAATGCGCCTTTTCTTGATAAAATGCCAGAGCGGCTGAGGGCACAGGTGCGTCTTGATCAGCAGGGTGACACAACTCTGAAGGCCCACCGGCTTGGCATATTCAGCTCGCCAGCGGCCAGCCTCTGCGCTAGCGGCAGCAAGATGTTCATGCAAATGATCAGGAAGCAATCGGGTTGTAGAGCAGTCTCTGACTCTGGCCAGCGTTTCCACGAAGGCTTCAGATCTCCAGACATGCGGATACGGGCGCCGCCCAAAATCAACAGTTTGGGAAAGTGCTCGAAGATCGCCCAGCAGAAGGTGTTGGCGGTACATCCAATCATGCAGCATTTGAAATTCGGGAAGCGTAGAGCGCGTTGTCCTAACCAAAGCCCCAATGCTCATAGCAAGCCAGGAGGGGATGGAGGGCCCACCCGCACTGCGGAGTTGTAGCCAAGACGCAATGTTGAATGTGCCGAGGGGGATCCTGAACGTCCTGGAGAGAGCAACCAGCTCCTCTCGGATGAGCCACCGCGGCAGCATGCGGAACTGCGCGACATAGGAGAGCACAGGGACAATTCTGGTGGTGTAGTGGACCGCCAGCCGCGAGACCGCGAGTGGGCTCCCACCAGCAAGCTTTGCTCTCAGCTTGACTTTGATAGAGGGCGCCAGCCAGCACGAGCTCCCATCTGCAGCAGGACCCATGACTAGCCCGAGATAAAGAAGGAAACTACCCACCTGAATGTTGGCAAAGAATGGAACAACTTCACGGATCGAGTCGCGAACAGAGTCAGCGAGCTGCTTCGAGAACGGCGCGTGAAGCGGCACGAGCAGGCATTTGGTGAGCTTGGGCGCCAGGGTAGCGATCTTCTCCGCCGTCTGCATCACCTCCGCAAGGATGCGTAGTGCCTGAAGCCTTCTGACCACGCAGCCAATGTCGTCGGCGCATGCGCGTGCCAGACCGAGACGAGAGCCTTCCAACCTTCCTTGTAGATCAACGAGGAAGCAGGCCGTCACCGCCGCGTAGATCGATCCACTAAGCGAACAGCCTTGTATGATGCCTGATGAGATGCGCCAAGCAAAGGTAGGGCGCCAATGCTTTATCACGATAGCATCTAAGATCGGATAAAGCTGCTCATGCATCGCCATGAAGGCGAAGGGAGCCTGCATTTGCCGAAAGACCACCAGCATGAACGACTGAGCCAAACTAGGGAAGGCCGCGCCGAAGTCCAGAGCAACCAGCGCGGGGAAGTCTGAGCTCGCAGTTGGCGAATTAGAGTAAGTACGAGCGGCTACGTCAAGCTCGAGGACGTTGACCCCTAAATTCCTCTTGGGTATAAAGCCTCTCTGCGAACGAGGAGCCCAATCCATGAGAAGCTTGCTGAATTGGATGTTGGCCGCGACGGTAATCAGCTTTATGTCCGTGTTCCGCAGGCCCAGCACTCTCACAGCACTCGGGGAGCGCGCGCAGCCAGTAGCCAAAGAGTCGTCAACCTCTTCGCCCTTGGGGGGCCAGGCCTGCAGCGTGTCATTGGAGCTCTTGAAGGGGGATTGACCCTGCATTATCCATATCATTGCATCAGAGAGAACTTGAATGCCCACCTCAGAGGCAGCCCGCGCCGAGTAAGGGATGGAGTGAAGACCCAGGGAGTAGTGCATCTTTTTGGCGACGCGACGTAGAAGGGCCGGGGATGGTGGTACAACTTTTGAGAAATCCAATGTCGGGACATGCTGCTCGATGTATGCTTGAGCGCGGCTGAGATCAATCGGCTTGGCGGAGAAAATGGGGGCCCAGTGCTCAATCAGGCGGTCGGTCATGGTCGCGGAGTCGTGGGATATGCACGCTGGGCCAGACGGGTGCTTGACCGCACAGAGCACCATTCTCCGATTCAGAGGAGACCAGATGCCAGCACGCCGTTCAACCGCTGCTAGCTGATGACGGAGAGCCTGTGGGGCATGGGGGCGAGCCAAGCGTTCTTCAAGCCGTTGGCGAAGCTGATCAGCATGACGGCGTTGAATCGTATCGCGCCAGTGTTGGAAAGAGGAGAGATGGCGAAGACGGACGATGTTGTTCTGGATCTCGAGAAAATGTAGCCTGCCGAGTGATTGGACATAAGCTTGTGCGCGAGCTTGTGGTCGTTGCGCCAGACGACCCTGGAGATCTGCCTCGCAAGCAGTAAGAGAATAGAATTGGCCTCAGGCGCTTGGTGAACTTGCAGATCACGAAAGTCAGCAGCAACTTCACGGATTGCCCATTTGTGGAGTTGGATCTGGCGGGGGGGGGGGGGGGCTTTGGTTCGCATAGTTGAGCTTGCTGCAAACGATGTTGAGCTGCTTTGGGAATTCTTCCTTCTCGAACAGGTGCCTAGGGATACGATGAGCACAGGCAGGCCTTGGAGCTCGGCGCGTGAACTTAACGACATGCGCCGCATGATCGCTGACATTGTGCTCGGCGAGGCGATCAGGGCAGTCGATCACCCTTGGCTCGGCAGCGAGCTGCGTCATAATCCAACCAGGCCAACTGCACCATCACCTGTCCAATATGGATACAGAGTGGGAGTGGCGATCATAGCGCGTGGGCTCGTCAGAGGAGATTTCCAGCATGGATTTGAGCACGGCAGTCCACCGCGCAGCCCTGGCGCGTTGCCCTTTGCCTTGCGCAAGGCGGCGATGGGGCAGGTGAAGAAGGAGAGGAGCACGCGGAGCAACATTGAGGTCGCCATGGAGAACAACAACATGGTGTAGTGGATCATGAAGTGCCAGCTTCAGGTCAGAGGCTAACGCCTTCGATACCCGATTGAGCTGGCCAAGAGTCAGATCGTGGTTGTGTGCATTGTAGTGGTAGATGCTGATGCCATCCAGTCGCAGCGCTACGCGTAGCACTTGGTCGCTGTGAAACCTCAGCGCGGCAATCAGCAGGATGAATAGTCGCAGCGCCACCCCTTGCTGCAGACCCCGCACAGTAGCTGGTGTATACTCGTACTTTCGGTGCCACCTTAGCGAGAAAGTCGATGAGCTGCTTCTCGTCCTGATGTACTTCCTGAAGGGCCACAGTGCCATAAGTGAACTTCATACGCTTGAGGTGCGCAAGCTTCGGTCGAGCGGCGTGACCATGATATTGGAGTCGGGCGCGGGTATTCCAGGAAGAAAAAGAGAAAGACGGCGGGTTAGCAAGTCGTCCATGAACCGCTGCCGCGAACCCATTAAAGAGACCACTCAGCAACCTCGGCTGGCGTGATGATGCTCTTGGCCGCCTCAGCCAGCCTCTCCTTCGGAAGTGCCAGCTTCTGCGCGACGTTGTCGGCCCAAGCGATCTCCGATGGGATGTTTCTTGGGTTAGGCGAGAGACGAAGAACAGGGTCCCATCCGGCCATGAGGTACCCCCTGTCACGGTCCAAGAACCACCTCTTGTCACTGGTCACGTTCTTGAAACCTCTTTGAGCTTGCGGCCCTTGATCTCCAGCTTGATTGGCCTAGGGTTCTTGTCCGCACCAATATGGAGCGTCGCCATCTGGTTGTCCATGGCCACGACCTCGAAGCACTTCCACTGGCCAGGGGCCAGGCGCTGGGCACCCAGAACCCGAGAGACACGACGGGCAGCGGGGCCCGCAGCCCCAGAGAATTCGAAACTGAACTGTTTGGCGACCTGCTCACTTGAGGTGATCGAGAAGTACTCCAGCTTGACCCCGCAGCTGGTGACCCATTCTGACATGATTTGCTGTACTGCCGATGACTCAACCAGCTTAGACGCCATGACGCGGATGATTGTGGCGTCGATGTCCCTGTCAAAGCCTGCAGCGCTGGTGGTGGGGGGGCTTGGGCTTGACGTTGGCGAGGGCGAGAGCATCACGGAGTTCTTGAATTTGACCACGCAGCGCTTGTAGTTCAGAGTCGTGCCCATCCAGCCTGTGTTCAACGGATCGCAATCGCATTGAGTGGCCGTCGATCTGTTCCTGGAACTTGCGGTGGAAGGCGTCCAGCTTCTCGGAGCAGAACTGCTCAGACGCTTGCTTGGCCATGGTTGGAAGCTGTTGTACGCCTTCAGCCAATTGCCCAACAGCGCGAGAATGCTTAGTAAGCTGAGCAGCGAAATCCTGGATCTGGTCGGCGACCGTCGCGGAGACCACATTGGTGAGGTCGCGGATGAGCTCGTCCCTGTGCTCGGCCATTTTCTTACCGACGTAGTCTGCGGCCATTTGCTTGATGTAGTCGTCCTTGGTCCACTCATCCTCGCTGCTGATGTCCACGTCAGCCTCAGCTGCAGCCACAGGGGACACCGCGCCAGTACCAGTAGCAGCAGGAGGAGCAGGCTCGACAGCGTCAGCATTGGTCCCATCATCATGATCACCGCCGATGCCCAGAACATCAGGAGCGTCAGGCAGGCCACGGCGTGCCTTCTTGCCCTTCCTCTTGGGGCCGCGGATGGCAGGAGGTCCTCCATTGCGGCCGCCGCCCATGAGGAACTCTGAGCGTTCGAGCAGGCAGGAACGGGAAAAGCCTCCGTTTACCCACCGACCCGAGCGCAGGTGCGATGCAAAGGACTGCCAGACCACAGGGGTCTTGCCCGCCGCGGACTAGCGGTATCCACTTGTTCCCCTGAGGAACTTGGCATCTTGAGCCAAAATGGCTACGGAGGAGGAGGAGGAGGAGGAGGAGGAGGGGGGACTCCGCCGTCGCCTGGGCGATTCGGGTGCACTGGACCGCCCCCTGGTGGGCGCGCCGTGGCCCGGGGTGTCCCGCCGTGGTGTCCCGCCGTGGTGTCCCGCCGTGGTGTCCCGTGGGCCTCCCGTCGCCGGTGGGCGGGCGGTGGCCGGGGGCGTCCCGCCTCGGTCTCGATGGTCACTGGCCGGAGGCCATTGCAACAGACACTCACAGCGGGACTCCCCATATGTTCACATATTTTCTGGGTATTGTGTTCCCCCCACTTTCCATATGGCCCCATATCTTCTCCGGAGCCGACGATTACACGTGTCTGCGTGTTCTTCCCCCTGATCGTGAGATCGGTATGAGATCGCTAGAACGGGACGGATCGTGAGGTCAAGCGTGAGATCGGCAGTGATGTTGACTGTGGCACTGATTGTGCTCGCGCTGTCAGACGCGCAGGGAGGCGACGTCCCAGGGGTCGTGCAGATCTCGCCTGGGGCGAGAACAGTGGGGTCGATCGCTGAATCCATTGGTACTAGACTGACCGTGAGGTCGATCGTGGGACCGATCGAGTGAGATCTAAACCGGGGACGAGAGTAACATTACATCGTAGCGCAACATCGTCATCGCGCGTCGTCGCTAACTCGAGGGCGCGTCGCCAGCATCGTCACCATCACACTCCTCGCATTTGCCACTAGCTAGTTCTCCCCCCCCACCCCCCCAACCTCCTGATCACCCGAAGGGTGGTCATGTAGGTAATCGCATCGGCGGATACGAGAGAATTCGGGGGGGGGGAGGAGGAGGAGGAGGAGGAGGAGGAGGAGGAGGAGGAGGGAGGAGGAGGAGAGGAGAGGAGGAGAAGGCGGCGGAGGAGGAGGAGGAGGAGGAGGAGGAGGAGGAGAAGGAAGAGGAGGAGGAGGAAGGAGGGAGGAGGAGGAGTAGGAGGAGTAGGAGGAGGAGGAAGAGGAGGAGGAGGAGAAGGCGGAGGAGGAGGAGGAGGAGGAGGAGAAGGAGGAGGAGGAGCAGGAGGAGGAAGAGGTCTCTGAGACCTGGCGGTTCTGGAGGATGTGCCGGGCGCCGCGGCCGTTCCGGAGCGCTCTGCAGAACGCCCTGGGGGAGAGCGCTCCAGAACGCTCTGGAGCGAACTTTTACCTCGGGCTTTTCGGGTCGGGCGAAAGGGGGGGATAGCAAAGGGGGGGTTTGAGAATCAGCTCACGTAGCTGATTTTCCCGGCGCCTCCCGGCGCCGGGAGGCGCCCATGTATCGAGGAATGGGCCCCTCGGTGGGGCCGAAACCAGCTGCATGCAGCAGATTTCGTAACCCCCCCTTTCCCAAACCCCCCCTTTCGCCCGACCCGGGCTCTGTGGGCCCGTGCCGGACCTGTAGACCCGCGCGATGAGGTCCCCGTAGCCGTCGAAGCTGTCGGGGACGAAGGCGCCCGCCTCGGCCAGCGCCCGGTTCTTCGCCCCCGCGGTCTCGCCGCCGCTCCGGGCGCGGGCGCCCGCGTGCCCGAACTGCACGTCGTAGTCGAAGGCCTCCGCGGCGGTTCCGCAGCACCACGCCACGACCGGCTTGGTGATGCGGCCGTCCCGGATGGCATCGGCGACGCCGTACTCCTCGCGGCCGCCGACCTCGCAGGATCAGCCAGCATCAAGTCGAAACGTAGGCCGAATCGGAAGGTGCGTCAGATCGGCCCGCGTCGGCACGGACTCGACACCGATTGGGAGCGGGCGCGCCAGAGTGCACCAACGCCGTCAGGTAAGCATTGGGCCGACCCCGCTCGTCGGAATATCGGAATCGGATCGATCGGATCGAAATTGGCCCTGCCTCGCCGAGCAGGGCCATCATCTTCACCGCGGGATCCGCCTCGAACCGCAGCAGCACATCCAGGAAGCGCAGGCCGGGCCAGCGGTCGCCGCCTATTGCGATGCCCTCCCGCACGCCGTCGGTGTTCAGGGCCACGATGTTGTTGAGCTCGTTGGACATGCCGCCCGACTTGGTGGTGTACGCCACGGAGCCGGGGCGGTAGAGCCTGGCGAGCAGGAGGTTCTCGACCGCGCCGCCAGCGTTGCCTATCCTGAAGCGCCCCGGCGCAATGCCCCCGACGGTGGCGGGGCCGAGGATGTCGACCTTCCTCTTGGCCGCCTCCTGATGCAGGCGCCGGGTCAGCGCCTCGGGCACGCCCTCGGCGATGATGGCGTGCGTCTTGAGGCAATCGCTGAACTGCAGCGCGTCCATCGTCACGCCGTGCACGGACCGGAAGGAGGCGAAGTTCACCAGCATGCTCGCGACCTTGCCGTGCCGCTCGACCGCGTCCGCCAGCCTCGGGTAGACAGGGACCAGCACGTCGGAAGACCCGAACATGAACTTCTCGAAGGACGCCTCGCCGGTTGGGTTGATGATGGCGGCGACGCTGGGCGCCTTGCGGCCGCACAGCGTGTCGAAGTCCAGCATGCGCTGCACCGCCTTCGTCTGCATGCCGTACACTATGGCCCGGGGGGCGTCCGCGGACCTCCTCACCGATCCTGGCCAGGCCCACACTGGGCCCAGGATCGATGCACACACCTTCCTGGCCTGGTCATGCAGGCGTAGACGCCGATTCTGGGCCCAGGATCGGCCAGGATCGGTGAGGTGGTCAGTTGACGTCCCCCGATATGGCCTGCGTCTCGGCCGAGAAGCGCTGGCGCTTGGCGCCATCCGGCACCGCGGAAGATGCCCTGGGCCTCTTCAGCCTGAACACCGCCTTCTCCTGCGGCCGGTCGCCTGCGCTGCCGGCGGGGCTGGCCAGCGCGTCGCGCACGATGGAGGTGATGTGCGCCTCGGGGCCGTAGACCTTCGCGGGGACGCCGATCTCCTCGCAAGCGCGCCTCATGAGGGCCAGCCCCTCGGAATAGTTGGGCCCCCCGCGGCGTACCCAGACGCTGGTGCCGCAGGCCTTCAGTGCGGGGCCGAACTGGCGCAGAGCTTTCACGATCCCCTTGAAGGTGCTGGCGACGTCCGTGAAGTTGGCTACCCCGCCTCCAATGAGCAGGATCTTGCCGTGCGGCTCGGGGGTGCTTGTCATCACGCTCAGGATGGTCCTCGCGTACTCGTAGACAAACTCCTCGGGGGGGTCGCCCGAATACTCCCCGTAGTTCGCCAGCTCCTTCGCGAAGCCGTACTCGCAAATTGTGTCTGTATAGACCACGCTAGCGCCGCCCCCCGCGATCAGAGTCCAGACGCGCCCCAGCCGGTTCAGCAGCGTGAACTTGAGCGACGCGCCGGTGCGGCTGTCCAGCTCGTGGATGGCGGCCTCCTCCCGGTGGGCCCCACAACGCGGTGTGGTGGCAGGCCGTGGGGTGACCTCTGAAGGGGCCCCAGGACATACACATAAATACACACTGATAAAAATATTCCCCATATTTTCCTGTATTTTCTGGGTTTCTGTCTTCCCCCCCCACTTCCCATATTTTCCCATATTTTCTGGGGAATCGACGATTAATTGTGTCTGTGCCTTTTTCCCTCCTGAACCTCGGCACCCCCCCCCACAAACAAACCCCACGGCGCGGCCCGCCACCGCGCGGCTCTTGCGGCCCCGGGGTGCGCCGGCCGACCGAGGCATCCTCGGATGAGGGCCCACGTCCCGGCACCGCGCGGCTGGTCACCGCGCGGCTCTTACGGATGTGGTACGGAGGAGGAGCGGGGGAGGAGAGGGGAGGATAAGCCTCCTCCTCCTCCTCTTCTTATCCTCCTCCTCCTCCTCCTCCTCCTCCTCCTCCTCCGGTCGACCGAGGCATCCTCGGACCACGGCCCACCTCCCGGCACCGCGCGGCCACCCCGAAGCCCCGCCGAGGCGCTCGGCGGCGCGGTCGCCGCCCCGGCTCGGGGCCTCCGATCCTCGGGCAGCTCCAGACGGCCGAAGGGCACCGGGAAGCGGCACGTGCCCCACAGCGCCCCGGCCAGGTAGCCCGCGGCCTCGTCGATCTGGAGCTGTGCGTCCACTACCAGAAGGCTGGCGTCGCCCGCGGCTCCCTGGGGGGAGCAGCAGGTGTGCCTGATTACACCGATGCAGCCATCTGGCCACCACGAATGAGTCTGCCTCGGCAACGAGGAGGCTCTTCTGGACCGGCCTGGACATCTGGGGGGGCGGAGGCATCGGAAATCGTTATGAGCGTGTTCTCGCCGGGGAAGCTAGCGACGACGACAACGACGCCTGTCCGAGTTTCCGCTCTAGCCATGGCTTTAGCCGAGATAGAGGAGGAGGAGGAGGAGGAAGAGGAGGAGGAGGAGGAGGAGGAGGAGGAGGAGGAGGAGGAGGACGAGGAGGAGGAGGAGGAGACGGCCCGAAAACCGGAGCCCCTCCGGAGTCCAGCGTGGTCCTTCTTTCGGCGTCTTGATTGTACCCTGGCCGCTTCTCCCGAGGCCTGTGCAACTGTGCGTCCTGACCGCGACGCCGAGGCGAATTCGGCGAAGGCGTCGAGGGCCCCCCCCCAACAGAAGGCGAAATCAATGTGCTTTTCTCCTCTGACCCTCCTGGCCAAACTCCGCTCAAAACTGATCTCCTGGACTTGCCCCGGCTGACCAAACTTTCTTCCTGGACCGATTCTGACGGTCCCTGGGCCCCGAAAGCGGGCCTCAGGCACCGAAAGCGGCGACAGACCTCAATCCTCGAATCTCCTCCTCGATGCTGCTCTCTTCTCCCCGCCCGCCAGGTCGCAGGTCATCTCTGTGACGTGGAGCGCCCGGCAAAAGAGCAGCAGCGCGGCAGATAGCGCCGCCTCGGCGCTCGCCTCTGCGCCCAGGAGGCCGACCACCTCCGCGGGTGCCTCGCGGTCGAGCGCCACCAGCACCGAGCACGGGGCGGCCCCGGGCCGCGCGAAGGTGACCTCCTCGCCGTCGCGAACCGAACGCACGCGCAGCTGGCAGGGCTCCGCCCCCTGGGCGCCTTGCGGATTGGCCAGCTCCGCGATGGCCACGAAATGCGTGGGGACGCCGCGGGCGCCGCCGATGGCGACCTCCCTGCCGCTGGCGGCGGCCGCGGCGAAGACGACAACGGCGACGAAGACCGTGGCGGCGATGGGGGTGGAGACGATGCGGACGACCGCGATGACCACGACGACCGTGTCGGCGGCGAACACGGCCTCGACGACGACGACGACGACGACGACGACGACCTCGACGACCTTGACGGCGGCGACGACGACGACGACGGCGGCAACGACGGCGGCACGACGGCGGCGGCGACCTCCTTGCCAGCGCGCTCCCGCAGCCAAGCGGTGGCCGCGGCGGTGTCGCAGCCAGTGGCCCGCAGGCCGGCCGACTGCACCTGCGCCAGCGGCTGCAGGTGGTCTGGACGCACCTCGCCAAAAGGACGACAACGGTGACCGCAGCGACGGCTGCGACGTTGGCGGAGACCGCAGCGACAGCGCGACTACGCCGATGGCGGCGAATACGACCGCGGCGATGGCAGCCGCGGCGGCAGCGACGACGCCAACGACCGTGGCGGCGAGGCCGGAGAATATTTTTTTCGGAGGGGGAAGATGGGAGCGGACAAAATGATGGAACCTCCGGCCACCTCAACCTGCCGCGCTACAAGAATGTATGCTACATCACTTGGGGGCAAACATCGGGTGAACAGCCCTGGGGGCAAGCCGTTAGTGAACGGCCCCTGAGCCACACATGTCGCAGCTCCACTGAAGCAGCGGGGGGGGGAAAGAAGGGAGGAGGGCCAGGAAAGGGACGAGAACATGGACAATAAACATGCGTTATATGGGCATCCCCGATGGCTCGGCCAGCAATGTATACATTATATTATATTATATTATGTTATATTATAATATATTATATTTCATTACATTGCATGACAATACTTTATATGATATTATCTCATGATATATTATATTTTATTATAATGTATTATGTATGATATAATATATTTTGTTATATTATATAATAATATATTATATTAGAGTATACTATATTCTATTATATTATATTGTATTATATTATATTACATTTTATTATATTATATGGTATTATACTATATTATGCTATGATTTATTATATTACATTACATTATATTATAGTATATTATATTATATTAAATTATATAATACTATATCATATCATATTATAGTATAGTGTATTGTGTTGTATTATATTATATTATATTATATATATATATTATATCATCTTGTATTATATCATATTATATTATATGATATCATATTATATTATTCTCTTGCACAGCGTGTCTAGAGCTCCGACCACTTTATTTCGGCACCGCACCCCCCCTTCATCATCATCATCACCATGATCATCATCATCATCATCATCATCATCATTATCATCATCATCATCATCATCATTATCACCATCATCCTCACCATCATCACCATCACAATCACTCCGCCCCCTCCACCGCGCCGTCTCAGCGCCCCCCCGCGGCTCCAGCGCCCGCCCAGCGCCCCCTCCGCATCGACCACTTTATTTCGGCACCGCACCCCCCCTCCCCGCTCCGCCCCCTCCCCCGCGCCGTTTCAGCGCTCCCCCGCGGCTTCAGCGCCCCCCCGCGGCTCCAGCGCCCGCCCAGTGCCCCCTCCGCTTCGACCACCTTATTTCGGCACCGCACCCCCCCCCCCCGCTCCGCCCCCTCCCCCGCGCCGTCTCAGCGCCCCCCCGCGGCTCCAGCGCCCGCCCAGTGCCCCCTCCGCCTCGACCACTTTATTTCGGCACCGCACCCCCCCCCCGCTCCGCCCCCTCCCCCGCGCCGTCTCAGCGCCCCCCCGCGGCTCCAGCGCCCGCCCAGTGCCCCGTCCGCCTCGACCATTTTATTTCGGCACCGCACCCCTCCCCCCGCTCCGCCCCCTCCCCCGCGCCGTCTCAGCGCCCCCCCGCGGCTCCAGCGCCCGCCCAGTGCCCCCTCCGCCCCGACCACTTTATTTCGGCACCGCACCCCCCCTCCCCGCTCCGCCCCCTCCCCCGCGCCGTCTCAGCGCCCCCCCGCGGTTCCAGCGCCCGCCCGGTGCCCCCTCCTCCTCCGCATCCTCCTCCTCCCCCTTCCTTTTTGTGCAAGAGCCGTGGCGCGCGTGCCACTTGTTTTTTTACCTCGGAGCCGCTGCGCACCTAAAAGAGTTTGCAATGAGAAATGTTCTCTTATTGGATTCGACAAGTTTCTATTCAACGAACGCGCGGTTTCTACGCGGTTTCTACCAGTTCCTACATGATTTCTACGACACTGCCGCGACAGCGACGCCATGGGGCGTTCCCGTGCTGGCTTGGGCGCGTGGCGGGGTCAACCTGCGCACTCACTTCGCTGCTTCCCGAGTGATTTGCGACATGTCTTTGCCTATTCAAGCTGCAGTGCCAATTCGCGCTGGGGGCCTGTTAGCTACCTCGTGGGTCATCCTTGGCCGGGAAGCTCGAAAGAGCTGCTCACCTTCCCGCTCTTGGGCCTACCTCGGGGCCCTCTTGGGGTCATATTGGGTCGTATTCGGGGCCCATTGGGCTGTCTACGAGCCCTCTTGGGGGCCTCTCGGGCAGCCCCAGGGAGAGTTTGGACAACTTTGGGGTCGTCTTGGACCGTGCTGAAACCAAACGAACGAATATGCATAGCATGTTTTTTCCCAAAAAAGATCGGGCTGCTGCTTCTAGGGCCCTCTTCGGAGTCCTCTTGGAGTGGTCTTAGATCGTCGAGGGCGCCTCCCCTCTGGAGCCGCCTTGACGGCGGTCTGGGGTCGATCAGGGAGATGTGCCAAGGTTGCGGGCCAGAGGCCCCGTAGACGTGTCTTGGGGTCTCGATGGGAACCTGACAGGACAAGAACGGGAAGCGTCGCTTTGTCCACCAGGCATGTAAAATGAAATGTGCCGTGCTCCTGTGTGTTCTGCCGTGCTTCTGCATGGTCTGCCGTGTTCCTGCGTGTTCTGCTGTGCTGCTGCGTATGGAAAAATAAATTAAAAATAAAGACGGAACAGAGTTCCCGAGAGACGCCGAGCCCCAGAGAGCACTGAGGGCAGCGCGAGCCTACCCACAACAGGGAGCAACAGGCGCGAGCCTCACCGATGCAGACTCTCACTCACTCACGGACGGCGGCCGCAATGCGCCTGGTGGCGGCGCTCCCAGCGGCCCCCGAGCGCCCCGAGCGGCCCCGCACCGCGCTGGCCGCAGGCCCAGCCTTGTGGATCCGGTCCAGCCTCACTCCCGCGGCACGGAGGCGGACCTGCCCGCGCTCACGGCGCGCGGCCCCAGGAGCTCGTACTCGGCCCTCATGCACTCCTGGCCTCGCGATGGCGGCGCTCGTGCTGAGGTCCCTGGCCTGCAAGGTCTTGCAGAAAATCCAGCCCTGCGTCTCCCAGTGCCCGCCAGGCTGCCGCGCACCAGTGGGCCCCGAGGCGCGGACGGTGGTCTTGGCAACACTGAGGGGGAGGGGGCAGAACACGGAGGAGGCGAACCACTTCCAGCCCGGCGCTCCTTGCTGGGTGGTGAACGACTCGGTGGCCAGGCTTAAGAAGCAGAGGAGACGCGGCTCTTGTGTGTTCTGCCATGTCCCTGTTTCTTCTGCCATGCTCCTGCGTATTCTGCCGTGCTCCTGTGTGTTATGCCGTGCTCCCGTGTGTTCTATCATGTACCTGCTTGTTTTGCCATGCTCCTGCGCGTGCTGTCGTGCTCATGCGTGTTCTGCCGTGCTCCTGTGTGCTCTGTCTGTTTTGCCGTGCTCCTGCGTGTTCTGCCGTGCCCCACTATGTTCGGCAGAATCAACCCCAAGGGTAAAGAGCACGGCAGAGAAGGACCAGGAATACGGAACCCAAGAGCAAAGGACCATGGCAGAAGAAGACAAAGAGCACGGCATAATAGCCCCAAGAGCGAAGGAGCACGGCAGAATAGGCCCCAGGAGCGAAGGAGCACGATAGAAAAGAGACAGGAGCACGGCAGAATAGACCATCCAGGACGATCTTCAAGGCTTCATTCCAACGCATTCCTTGAGAAAAGTCGCTTCGTCCACCAAGCATGCGAAACGAAATGTGCAATGATCCTGCGTGTTGTAGTTGTAGTTGTAGCCGGGGCCTTAAAGACAAAAGGACCGAGGGGGGCCACCGCTGGGCCACGCACCCTCGAAAAAAGGGCCACCTTGGGCCCCCTCCCCCGGCGGCCAAGCAAAGGCGCGCAGCACTGAATAATACTGCGCAAGATCACGCAACCGATCGCAGGAGGCTGAAAACCTAGCCGCGCCCTGCAATCACAGCCCAGGCCCCTTGCACAACCGAATGAGCCGATCGAGCTCGCGGGCCCTCTCCACGGACACGCCTGGCGGCAGGGCCTCCTCAAGCCCAGGCCCCTCGGCGAACCGCGCTCCCCAGGTGAGGCGCCGACGAGGCCTCGCGGAGATGCCGAACCTCTCGCACTCACAGAGGTGCATCAGGTCGACGGCGTCCGCCTGGCTCGCCCACGTTGGGCCCGCCCACTGCGGGACAGGGCAATGCCGAAGGGCCCCTGCCACCCCGAGCGCGCCCCCCGGGGCCCCCACCTCCAAGTCGACGACGTCGGGCCACGGAGCGAAGGATACCCGCTTGCTCCTCTCACATTCCTGCCCCAGCCCGACAAGATCAGCCCCGCACGGCACGCTGGCACGCCTGACGCCGCGCAGCCCGCGCGGCATGGGCACCGCGCCGCTCGCCTCGGACTCGCGCAGCTCCTCGGGGCCTACCTCGGAACCGTCGGCCGCGAGCGCCAGCGCGCCGTGCTCCTCCTCGGGCTCGCCCACGCCACCACGCCTGGAGCCCGAGCGCCCCAGCCGGGCAGCGCGCGCCAGCTCGCACTCCGCGGCCAGCTCGCTGCCGCCCGAGAACTCGTCACGCAGGAACTGCCCGTGCTCGGACCCGAGATCCACGAACTCAGAATCCCCCTCGAACTCCGAGTCCCCTTCTAGGCTGTCCCCGCTCCGCCGCGGCCGCCACGCCGAGCAGCGCGCCGCAGCAGCGCGATCCTCCTCGGGCTTGCAGCCGTGCTCCGCGATGCTCTCCTCCGCCTCGGTGCTCTCGGCGCCGCCCTCGCCGCGGCCCTGCTCGGCCAGCTGCGCCACGCCGAGCTCCTTCAGCAGCGCGGCCCAGCGCGCCCACTCGGGGAGGTGCGGCTGGGCGCCAGACCGCAGCGGGTTCCTCGCGGCCGCCGCTCGGGCGCTGGGCAGCCGCGCTGGCGCCTCGGCCACGCGGGCATCCACGGCGCACTCGATCGGCGGCTGCACTTCGCAGACGCAGGTCTCCACCTCACACGCGATGGCACTCTGCGCCGCACCGCCGCGCCCATCGCCAGGAAGGGGCCCTCCTGGGAGGCGCGGCCCGCGCTGAGCCCTGCGCCACTCC